CTCTGGTATCAACTAAGTTAACAATAATATTAAAAAAGCTTCCATCATAAAATCCCATCAAGTTCTCTACTATAGTTGTAACCTATAGTAGAGAACTTTTTCTACTTCCCAAAAAATCTTCACGTCACTTCACTCTCTCTTCATAAAAAATCAACTCTACTATTTTAAACTCCTTAAACACTCAAAACAAGCCATATCCCAATATCTTTTGTATTTTCTATACAAATAATTATCAGTATTAGAGTTGTGTTCGGTCATTTATGGGACATAGAAAAATTGTGGATAAAACAAGCTGTTTTACTGTTTTGCTTCCGTTATTTATCGGAGAAAATTATGATTTTTGGTCCATCAAAATAAGGACCTATTTTCGCTCCCCAAATTTGTGGAAAGTAGTTGAAGAATGACTAACTGTCCAAGACACTTCTACTCTCACAGGTGTTGAAAAGAAAATTGGTGGGTGTCGAATCCAACGAATAATAAACTTCTCACTCTCCAAAAATACAAATTATAATAATGATGAGCAAGGTCGTACCCACAAAGATTTGATAGATTTATTTTTATGAAAATTAAAGCAAAGAAAATGGGGGTTTTGAAATTTCGAAGTGAAATAAAAGAAAGCAATTATAATCAACTAAAAATTAAGGAGAAATCAATATCAAGCAAATATCCAACCAAAGGTATAATTTCATAATTGATTCAAAGAATTGATCACAAATACAAGGATAAAATCTTTTATTCTTCACTAAATTGGTTATGGTTATTAACAAGCTCTAACAACCTATCTCTCCTTACTTTCTCGATAACCAAAACAAGCACTTTGATTACTTCCCTTGTTAATAAACAATCCTAAACAAACTCTTAGGATTTAATCTATCGACAACATTAATAATTAGAGAGACTACCAATTCTAGCTAACAAATACACAAGCTCGATTCATTTAGACTAGATTATATATCTTCATAACATAAATCGAAAATCCCTTTACAATCAACTATGTTATTTTACCACTAATATTAGAACATTTAAACAATTACGGATTTAAAGTTCTAAATGGCAATCTATTGACCTGATAATTGAACAACGGGCCCTTTACATCAATCAATCAAGACAATAATTGTTAATAAACATAGAAGATATATAAATAGTGAAAAAATAAAAGAACACTGAAAATTATTTAGATCTCACAAATCTTGAAGAACCAAAACTTCAATTATCCTTCAGTTTGAAGAAAAGTATTTAGCTACTCATAATTAAAAGAATGCCTAAAGAAAATAGAAGAGAGAGAGAGAGAGATATAGATGTCCCCCTTTTTCTTGTGAATAATCTCCCTATTTATAACTCAATCTAATAATAGTTACCCTATCTAGATCAGGAAACTAATTAAAAGCAAATCCCACCTTAATAGGGAGTCTTGGCAAATCCTAGAGATTAAGAATGGGTAAATAAATCTTTCCAGTTGTCATGCATATCTTTTTCTCCAACAAATTCGTAACCCTAGGTCAAAAACCTTGGATCTAGTAAGGCGTGCCCACGCTTTATCTGCTGACTGCTTTTGTGAACATTCTAGGAAAACAGGATGTGCCCACACTTTAAGTAAAATCCGCTTCTGGAATATATCTCTTTTTTAGCTCTGATTTTTTTCTCTTCAAATCTCTTGATTTTGAATTCAATTTGATTTAACTCCTCAATCTACTCCACAAAATACGAAACATAATCAAAATCCAAGATTTAAGCATTTATAACCATTAAAACATGAGGAAATATAACAAATATATAGATATTATGAATTCTTATCAAATTCCCCCACACTTAAACAATGCTTGTCCTCAAACATACAATAGCTCAAATTCGTCATCTTTTCTCATCATCGTTCCTTCTTCTACCTTTACTCATCCTCTATAATCCAAATTATCATGCCTTAAAGATTTAAATCTAAAGACAAATAAGAAACGAGCAATTTCATAGAGTAGATTCTTATAAACCACACCCATGTACAATCACCTCAATGATCTTCTCGAAATCAAAATGCAATAGGATCTAACACCCTTTCATTGGATTCACTCAATACGCTCAAAGTGTTCAGGGGATCAAAGAACTCTCAAGTCAAAACATAGAAGATCTTTACCATAAGCTTGCTAATATATCACATCTTTATCATCAATGTATTGAATTGAATGCAAAAAATCTAAGGGTCTTAAATGGGTTGTAATGGGGCTTAGGTAAGGTGTGGTGAGAAGGAATTTTTAGGTACTTTTATCAAATGAATTATACCACTTTTTCACATAAAGCACAACTCAATAACGTCAAATGTTTTCTTCAATCAATTCACTTCCAAACAATTGAAATTGCACAATTATTTTTTTTTCCTTCCTGGCCCCTAATTAATTTTTTTTTTTTTTTTTTTTTTGAAATACCAAGGCACTTGTAACTTGAATCACTTTATTCCCAGCATCTTTCAATCCTTTCAAAGATAATTTGAAGCTTCATGTGAATAAGCTGGTGCGATCCTTCAATTCAAGGTTCAAAAGAGAGAAATCGACAAAAGAATAGGTTGACATTGCTTATATCATGGTTAACTTCCAACAAAAGGGCTAAGGTTCAAAAGTGGCTTTCTAAGGTAAAAATCAAGGTAGGCTTTTAAGAAAGTTAAATGGCTTCACCTAAATGCCCTTATTAATTCAATGCATCCAATTCAACAATGTAGTCTCCTGACATGCATAACAAAGCAAGATCTAGAAAAATCAACTATGTATGACAATCACTCAATTAGGAAAATGGAGCATAATATAATATGAATGGTCATTGGCTCAAAAGCGCACAAAAAGGGTCATGTGCATTAGATCCCACACATTTTTCATTCAATCAATCATCAAGAGCAATTAATCACTGTGTAGTAAATAAGAATTCAACTAATCATGCTAATCCCTTATTACGCCTCAATTTATCTCAATAATTCACAATAATCTAGATCGTTTAAGACAAGCATCGACAGAATCTAGAATTTAGAAGAGAAGGATCACAAACAAGAACTAAAGTATCACTTAGATTTTAAAATTTTCTTGAAAAATGATGCAAAAATTGATCAAAATGGAGCTAAAAGTGAAGTTCAAAGTAATATCAAATTCATATGTCAAAGACCCTCCCCCACACTTAATCCATACATTGTCCTCAATGTATCAAAAATAGATGCTCAAAAACTATAAAAGAACAAGAGTAAGTAGAAAACTCCCCTAAAAATGTTGAGCATCAACCAAGATATCAGTCACATGCGTGGGGGTGAAGGTGGTGTGAATCCCATGTAGGCAAAGAAAGTTGTCATGTTTCTGTCCAATCTGGCAACTTGGTTCACAAGTCTCGCAAGCTGATCGCCAAATTGTCCTTGGGAAGATACAGCGGACGTGGAAGGCAAGTCAGCAGATTCTTCGAACTCGTCATCATCGTTGGCGTCAAGGAGCTTGCATTGTGATCGTGTCAGAACGGGTCTTGGTGGATAAAAATAGAAGATACCCTCTTTTCTTCCAATTAAACCCATCCCCTCCAAACAATGTAAGTCCAAGGGCAACATCTTACAAGCAACATGAAGATCATTATTCTCAAGATCAATCAATTTTTCATGAACAGCTAAGTGGGTGATTAATGAACCTAAATCAAAGGACGCTTGTTTTTTAGGACACCAACAAATTGTGAAGCTAACCAACACCCAAGATTCACTTTGATTTTGTTTTGCATGCACCATAAAAAATAAAATTCAGCTTTTGACAACACAGCAGCAGAATCTTTCCTACTCGAAAAAGTAAAGGCAAGAAACTTATGAATGTATTTCAAGACAGGATCACAAAGGTAGGTATCTTTGGATTTACTTGGGTCATAGTGATCTGCAGTGGACAGAGTGTTATACAATGTAACTGGTTCAAAGGCATCACTAAAATCGCAAGAACTGTTCAAGTATTCATCAGACTTAGCATATTCTTCAGAGATAAATCCAAAGGCAATGTTGAATTTAGTGATTGAGAGCTTAAATGCTTTTCCCATTAATCTAAACTTGACTACTCATGGGCTGTGAAGTGTGAAATTATCAGGCATGTTGAACTCAAAAGTAGTGTAAAATTCTCTGACTAGTTCAATAAATGTCGGGCAAGTAATGCAAAAGTAAGTTTGCTACCCTATATTGTCAATGAGCTCAAACACAGCAGTGTGGATATTCAAAGCTTCCATTGTAGGGTGATGAATATACTTACAGGGGATTATTGACTGCCTACAGATGTCCTGATACCTTGCCTTATCTTTCTTTTTAGTGAATGTCAAATGCCCTTTCAAATCCGATTCTGAAGGTGGAATAATGTGCTTCCCTTTCCCAATTCTAGCTCTTTTACGCACTGGAGGAGTTCCTTGCTGTGTGTTGTATTGGCTTTGAGCAGTCTTTCTCTTCCCCATGGTGTGAGGAATAGAGATAGAGGTGGATCGATGGAGTGCTGTGTGGTGGGCTTCCAAGGGACCGTTCAGCGCGTGCGGGTTGGGCGAGGTGCAAGCGTTGGACTGGGGCTATGCTCGGCGGTCACGCTAATCTGACGCGGGGCTGGTGATAGGCTCGTGTGGTGGTGCAAGGTGGTGCTATGCTAGGTGAAGGAGGTGGCTGGATAAAAAGAAGAGTTAGGACAATTGAGAAGGAAATAGGAAATAAAAAATAATGACTTTTTTTTTTTTTAACCGAGAGAACAATTGGAATAAGGCGTGGGCATGTTGTATTCAAAGATCTCGTCTGGTTTGTTGCCCAATTCCATGATTCAAGATTTTCCATAAGGCGTGCCCACAGGTTACGAAAATCATCTTCTGCAAAAAAAAAAAAAAATGGAAAGAAAATCAAATGCACTCCGAAAAATGATAAAAAAAACTAAAAATAATCTAAAGAAAATAAAGAAAACAAGGAAAGTCAAACAAAAAGTTGGGTTGCCTCCCAAAAGCGCCATTCTTTAACGTCTTTAGCTAGATGTTGCCACCTCTTAATCGCCATAAGTCGGACATTCCAAAATAATTTGATCAACATTATACACTTGAAAACCTTCATAAAAAGGTTTCAAATGATGACCATTGACCTTAAAAGTTTTACCTGTATCCGAACTTTGTATTTCAACTGCATCGTGAGGAAATACATTAGTAACAATAAAAGGACCTACCCATCTAGAACGTAATTTACCATGAAATAACTTCAGTCCAGAGTGATCAAGTAAAACTTTTTCACCAATAGAAATTTTTTTCGTAGAAATTAGTTGATCATGAAAGGCTTTGGTCTTTTCTTTGTATATTCTCGAGCTTTCATAGGCATCATTGCGGATTTCCTCTAACTCTTGCAATTGTAATTTCCTTTGTAATTGTTCCTGCACCCACGGGTCAGTAACATCCATAACAAAAACAGAAGACACATCATTAGGGAACCTTATGGAGTCATAAATATTGAATTTAATAATTTCACCATCAAATTCCATTGTGAGTATACCATCATGCACATCAATTTTTGTCCTAGATGTTTTTAGAAATGGCCTTCCTAATAACATTAGTGTTGAATTAGAAGAGTCATCTTCTTCCATGTCAAGAACATAAAAATCGGCAGGAAAGACCAACCCATTAACTTGTACTAAGACATCCTCCACGACTCCTTCAGGATATACATTAGATCTATCAGCAAGTTGAATAATCACACCTGTTTCTTTTAATGGACCAATATTCAAAGATGAATAAATAGAGAGAGGCATGACATTTATTGAAGCTCCTAGATCTAGCATTACTTTCTCAATCCTAACATCACCTAGTTTGCAAGGGATAGTAAACATACCTGGGTCCTTGCATTTTGGAGGTAATTTTTTCTGGAGGATGGCTGAAACATTTTCCCCCATACTTATCTTTTCATTACCTTTCAACTTCCTCTTGTTGGTGCACAACTCCTTGAGAAATTTAGCATATCGAGGCACTTGTTTAATTGCATCAAGTAAGGGAATATTTACCTCAACCTTGCGAAAAGTTTCAAGAATTTCCTTCTCTTCCTCTTCTTTCTTGGATTTAGTCAATCTAGTAGAAAAGGGAGGATTTTTCACTAATGCCTTTGGTTGTTCACTATCGAGTCCTCTAGGCTGGTCAGTTTGAGGTTGAGGAGCAACTACTTCTTTTTCAATTTCTTCTCCACATGCTGCCTTACTGGGTTCCTTCAACTCCTTCCCGCTTCTCATCAAGGTAACTGCATTAACATTTTGTTTTGGGTTAACAATAGTTTGTGAGGGCAATTTACCTTGAGATTCCAATCTGCTTATAGAAGATGTCAGTTGACTCATTTGATTCTCCAATTGATGAATGCTTGTTCTTGTCTCCTGTTGAAACTACTGCGTGCTTGTTCTTGTCTCTTGTTGAAATTGCTGCATGTTAGTTGCAAGTGATTTAACAATTTCTTCTAGAGACATACCTGAACTTGTGGAGGTTTGTTGTGGTGGTGGAGCAGGTGGTCTAGGCTGAAAGTGTTGGAATGGTGGTCTTGCTCCATAGCTGAAATTGGGATGATCCCTCCATCCTGGATTATAGGTATTTGAATAAGGATCGTATTTCCTTTGTGGTAGGCTTGGAAATCCTCCAGCTACATTGGCATGCTCATAGGAATCATCTCGAAGTGTAAGGCACATGTTAGTTAGATGACCGATGCTAGCACAAATTCCACAAGCTTTCACTTGTTGCATATTTCCTACAGCTAACTGTTGAACAATAGAAGTTAGATTGAAAATTTGATTTTCAAGGGAAGATATACTTACCTCATTCACCCTTATTGGAGATGTATCCTGCCTAAATCCAAATTGTTGTGAGTTAGCGACCATGATGGAGATCAAATCTCTAGCGTCACAAGGAGTTTTGTTCATTATGGCACCTCCACTCACTGCATCCATCATCTTCCTTTCCATGGGTAGGAGCCCTTCATAGAAATATTGAATGAGGAGTTGTTCAAAAATTCCATGTTGTGGACAGCTTGCATAGAGTTGCTTAAATCTTTCCCAATACTCATGAAGGATCTCTGTATCTTTATGTTTTATTCAACATATCTCCCTTCTAATGCAAGCAGCTCGTGATGCAGGGAAAAATTTATCAAGAAACAATCTCACCATCTCCATCCATGTGGTTATAGAGCCAAGGGGCAAATAAAATAACCAATCCTTTGCTTTTTCAGTCAACCAGAATGGAAAAGCACGTAATTTGATTTGTTCTTCGGTCACTCCTTCCGGTTTCATGCTTGAACACACCACGTGGAATTCCTTCAGATGTTTATGAGGATCTTCATTCTCAAGACCACAAAAAGTTGGGAGCAAATGGATCAATCCAAATTTTAACTCAAAACCTACTTCCAAAGCTGGATATGTAATGCAGAGTGGATACTTCCAAAGCTTGCATTTTAAGGGAAATTCCTACACTATATATGACAAAAAGCATAAATCCCTCATAATTGCAAGAGTCAAAATGCAAGAGAATAGGTGTTTCCCTATCCAATGGAGATATGCAATTGATACAGCTATGAAGGCACAAGTGGACGAATCATGGTTATGGCATAGAAAGTTCAGGCACTTCAACTTCCACGGGCTGAAGATCCTTCAACAAAAGAAAATGATACCAACAATAAAGAAGATGGATGATACATGCAAAGGATGCATGCTTGGTAAACAACACCAACAACCCTTCCCATCTAGAAAAGCCTGGAGAGCCAAGAAGTTGTTGGAGCTAGTCCATATAGACATTTGCGGTCCAATGCGCACTCCATCAAATGATCAAAACAGATACTTTAACATTTGGTCAAGAGATCTTGAACTTTATAGGGGATGATCTTTTGGAAAGAAGGCTTTTGGTGCACACCAAGGGACGATCTTTTCAAAAGTTGTCATTTTGATCTGGTTTTTTGCATGGTGGTGGAGAAAATGCAAGGAACCTAACCAAAAAAAAAGGAAGCAATTGGCACGACCTGTTTTCTTTTAATAATTTTTTAAAATTAAAACTTTGAAAAATCGTAAAAAATCACATACTGTGCATTTTGGGTCAGGGTTTGTTTTGTTATGCTTCTAAAATCCCTATTTGAATTATGGTGTATACATTTGGTTGGGAGATCTTGAACTCTGTGGGGGGCGATCTTTTGGAAAGAAGGTTTTTGGTGCACACCAAATGACGATCTATTCGAAAGTTGTCCTTTTGATCTGGTTTTTTGCATGGTAGTGGAGAAAAATGGAGGGAACCTAACCCAAAAAAAAAAAAAAAAATTTTGGCACAAGCTTTTTTTTTTTAATGATTTTTTTAAGATTAAAACTTTGAAAAATCGTAAAAAATCACATACTATGCATTTTGGCTCAGGGTTTGTTTTGTTGTGCTCCTAAAATCCCCGTTTGAATTATGGTGTATACATTTGGTCGGGAGATCTTGAACTTTGTGGGGGACGATCTTTTCGAAAGTTATCATTTTGATCTAGTTTTTTGCATGGTGGTGAACAAAAATGCAAGGAACCTAACCTGAAGAAAATGAAGCAATTGGCATGAGCCCTTTTTTTTAATGATTTTTTGAAGATTAAAACTTTGGAAAATCCTAAAAAATCACATACTATGCATTTTGGTCGGGATTTATTTTGTTGTGCTCCTAAAATCCTTATTTGAATTATGGTATATACATTTGGTTGGGAGATCTTGAACTCTGTGGGGGACGATCATTTGGAAAGAAGGCTTTTGGTGCACACCAAGAGACGATATTTTCGAAAGTTGTCCCTCTGATCTAGTTTGTTGCATGGTAGTGGAGAAAAATGCAAGAAACCTAACCCAAAAAAAAAATATGGATGCAATTGGCATGAGCCTTTTTTTTTTAATGAGTTTTTGAAGATTAACATTTGAAAAATCGTAAAAAATCACATTCTATGCATTTTGGGTCGAGGTTTGTTCCCCATTTGAACTGTGGTATATACAATTGGTCAGGAGATCTTGAACTTTGTGGGGGACGATCTTTTGGAAAAAAGGTTTTTGGTGCACACCAAGGGACGATTTTTTCGAAAGTTGTCCTTTTAATTTAGTTTTTTGCATGATGGTGGAGAAAAATGCAAGGAACCTAACCCAATAGAAAGGAAGCAATTTCCACGAGCCTTTTTTTTTTTTTAATGATTTTTTGAAGATTAAAACTTTGGAAAATCGTACAAAATCACATACTATGCATTTTGGGTGGTCAGGGTTTGTTTTGCTATTCTCCTAAAATCCTCATTTGAATTGTGGTGTATACATTTGGTTGAGAGATCTTGAACCTTGTGGGGGACGATCTTTTGGAATGAAGGTGTTTGGTGCATACCAAGGGATGATCTTTTCAAAAGTTGTCATTTTTATCTGGTTTTTTGCATGGTGGTAGAGAAAAATGAACGGAACTTAACCCAAAAAAAAAAAAAGGAAGCAACTGGCACGAGCCTTTTTTTTCAATGATTTTTTTGTGATTAAAACTTTGAAAAATCGTAAAAAATCACATACTATGCATTTTGGGTTGGGGTTTGTTTTGTGGTGCTCCTAAAATCGCTATTTGAATTATGGTGTATAAATTTTGGTCAGGAGATCTTGAACTTTGTGGGGGACAATATTTTCGAAAGAAGGTTTTTGATGCGCACCAAGGGATGATTTTTTCAAAAGTTGTCATTTTGATCTGGTTTTTTACATGGTGGTAGAGAAAAATGCAAGGAACCTAACCCAATAGAAAGGAAGCAATTGGCATGAGCCTTTTTTTTTTTTTAATGATTTCTTGAAGATTAAAACTTTGGAAAATCATAAACAAATCACATACTATGCATTTTGGGTCAGGGTTTATTTTGTAGTGCTCCTAAAATACCCATTTGAATTGTAGTGCATACATTTGGTCAGAAGATCTTGAACTTTGTGGTGGACGATCTTTTGGAAAGAAGGTTTTTAGTGCACACCAAGGCATGACATGAAAGACGATCTTTTCGAAAGTTCTCCTTTGATCTGGCTTTTTTCATGGTGGTGGAGAAAAATGCAAGGAACCTAACCCAAGAAAAAGGAAGCAATTGGCACAAGTTTTTTTTTAATGATTTTTTGAAGATTAAAACTTTGGAAAATCATAAAAAATCACGTACTATGCATTTTGGGTCGGGGTTTGTTCTGTTGTGCTCCTAAAATCTCCATTTGAATTATGGTGTATACATTTTGGTTAGGAGATCTTGAACTTTGTGGGGGACGATGTTTGGGAACAAATGGTTTTTTATGCACACCAAGGGCGTGCACACTAAGGGACGATCTTTTCGAAAGTTGTCCTTTTGATCTGGTTTTTCGCATGGTGGTGGAGAAAAATGCAAGAAACGTAACCCCAAAAAAAGAAGCAATTGGCACGAGCCATTTTTTTTAATGATTTTTTTAAGATTAAAACTTTGGAAAATCGTAAAAAATCACATACTATACATTTTGGGTCGAGGTTTATTTTGTTGTGCTCCTAAAATCCTCATTTGAATTCTGGTGTATACATTTGGTTGGGGGATCTTGAACTTTGTGGGGGACAATCTTTTGGAAAGAAGGTTTTTTGTGCACACCAACGGCGTGCACACTGAGGGATGATCTTTTCGAAAGTTATAATTTTAATCTGGTTTTTGGCATGGTGATGAAAAAAAATGCAAGGAACCTAACCTGAAAAAAAGGAAGCAATTGGCACAAGCCCTTTTTTTTTTTTAATGATTTTTTGAAGATTAAAACTTTAAAAAATCCTAAACAGTCACATGCTATGTATTTTGGATCGTGGTTTTTTTTTTTTTTTTCTTTTTGTGCTCCTAAAATCCTCATTTGAATTGTGGTGTATACATTGGGTCGGGAGATCTTGAGCTTTGTGGGGAACGATCTTTTGGAAAGACGGTTTTTGGTGCACACCAAGGGACGATCTTTTCTGAAGTTGTGCTTTTGATCTGGTTTTTTGCATGGTGATGGAGTAAAATGCAAGGAACCTAACCCAAGAAAAAAGAAGCAATTGGCACGACCTTTTTTTTAATGATTTTTTGAAGATTAAAACTTTGGAAAATCATAAAAAAATCACATACTATGCATTTTAGGTTGGGGTTTCTTTTGTTGTGCTCCTAAAATCCCCATTTGAATTGTGGTGTATATATTGGATCAGAAGATCTTGAAATTTGTGGGGGATAATCTTTTGGAAAGAAGGTTTTTGGTGCACAACAAGGGCATGTACACCAAGGGACGATCTTTTCTAAAGTTGTCTTTTTTATCTGGTTTTTTGCTTGGTGGTGGAGAAAAATTTGACATTTCATCAAACAATTTATGTGCACACACAAGCTCTAAATTGGTACACTTCTACTTCTCTTCTAAACCACCAAAATTTGGAACAAAATTCTCAAAGATGAATGCCAAACCTCTCCAGGATTTACACTCCATAAATTTTACTCCAGTTCTTCCATAATTCATCCAAACTCTCATCAAACATCAAGTACACAAACACTACTACTCATGGATAAATTCTAACCATCATTCAACATCCATTCCATCAAGAATTCTTCATTTATAAGCACATACATGCATAAAAGAAATTCACTGCACAATATTACTCCAATCATAACTAGGGTTGGATGGATTTACTTAGCTTAGATGTGAGCAATCCAACACTTCAGTAGCCTTCCTTGACACAACTCCCGTTCTCTTAAATCTTATGAACACAAATCATAAGAATTCAACACTTTAAAAATTAAATCTCATATCTTAGTGCAAGGATCTTACCTAAGGATGCTTGGGATTGAAATTCCACTAAAAATATACTAAGATCTATGAATTTTCATCGAAAAATGATTGAAGAAATTTGAGAGAACTTGGGTGGAAGGTGGCGTGAATGAAGGAGAAGAAATGGCTAGGGTTTCATTCTTTAACTCTTAATATAACAAAATACCCAACCC